TTATAGATTTACTATGTTTGTATAATGTTTGCTACGTGTGCGGGTGTACGTGTAATGTGTTGGTGGGAGAGTGACTGAGTGAGCGGGTGGGTAGGTGAGCGTACGTCTTCGTTAGGTTTGTGTGCGAGTGTGTGGGTCAATGTGTGTGTTTGCGAGTGAGTAGATGAGCGAGCGCATGCGTGCACGCGTATATGTGTTAATACGCACGCACGGTTGGCTCCGTGCGGTGCGAAAGAAGTTCAACAAATACAATATGTAAGTAACACCCTCGCAAACGAGATGTTCCATCTCAAGCGATTTCCCCGGTCAAACACTTAACTCATTAATCAACAAAAACACCCCCCCCCCCCGAAAAAAATAATTTCCCACGGCACCGTAATTCAGAGCAACGGTTTGACATCACCGTACCGAGAGAGCCCACTGCTGTGGGTGCGGCGAAAAAGACCGCCCTGAGTCCGGTGTGGAATCGCGTGAAAACGCTCGGCAACCCATGGCGCGCCTCGGGCTCACCTCAAAGGTCGCTCTGCGGCGGTGGCAGCGGCGGCGTAGGGCAACACGCGCGAGGCATCACCGACCACTCACGCCGCCACAGCGCGGCCCATGGCTGTCTGCGACGTGACCCCCACCAATGCAGCCGCTGCCGCTCGGGGCTGTAAGCGGATTAGGCGCGCGTGTCGCCCAAAGTGCCGTGAATAATTATCCCCGCGCCCATCCCCACCGCCACCACCACCGCCACCCCCACGCGGCTCGGATTACAGCACCGCAGGATGAACCCGCGCGAGCGAGAGGCTGCGCCCACTCTGATAATTACATTTCTGTAACTGTAGACGTCAATGAATAATGCAGTGCCACTGGAAGCAGCGGAGCGAGATGCGGGAGCGGAGGGGCGACTGCGCCTCGCAGATGACGCGCGCGCTCGAGCTCCCGGTGCTGCTGCTGCTGCTGAACGGGCGGCACACGATGAGCGCCGTGAGACACCGGCGGAGGTTCCGGTTCGACACCAGCAAGCCGCCATAGTTAATGCTGCGCTGACAGTTGACCAGTGAACGTTAGAAATCACGCGGTAGCGTTCGAAATGAGTGGGCCATTGCGTTCTGGCGTTCTGGTCCAAATTTGGCAAATTCGAAACATTTCCCCCAAGGGTTCCCAATTGGGATTGTACAAATGTAACCGGTGTGGGCTTAACTGGAGACGACTCGCACGTAAAATGTGCACTTTGTGGGGGTTTTTTTCCCGTTGAGAAATGATATGCAAGTGTCGGTTTTAGTCCCGCAATTCGGTTTGGGGGTCTGTGATTGGTCCAGACGGTATATGAATAGCATTCTGTACTGAATCTCTCTCTGATATATTTGGGCCATCGTTCGATGCAACACTATGATACGTAACACGAAATAATTAGCATCGTTGTGGAAAATATAAGGCACGAAAAAGCCAAATACGTCCCTTTCCCAAATGCGTCGCTTTTCGACGAATTAAACTGCTCTTGAAATGTGTAACCATTGTATATGTGGTGATATTTAGTGTACATTCGTGTGTGAAATTGGCTAATTGAAAGATTAAAATCCACCCTTCAACATTATTTTAAGCCAACCACTTGGTCAATAAATGGTCAAGATCTAGCAATTAATCTGTAAACAACTTGTTCAGACGACAATAACTAGTTACAAGTGGGACATTTAAAAAAATGTATTGCAGTAACTGACCATGTATTTTTATTTTCATTACTCGGGGAAACAGTCGCCTTCCGATTCATCAGGACCTAAGTAACGTCCCTTGTCATCGCTTGAAGGCACGGAAGCCCGTTTGGACCATTCGCTTCACCTTCAACAATGCGAGTTCAATCCCGACGAAGCTCGGGGAGCTGAATGGAGTTCAAAATAATTCCCAAAACAAACACCTTTTGAAAGACCCAACAAAGAAGATGGCTAGATTTGATCTTCCACGAAGCTCATGGTCCACTATAACCGCATCCGCACAAACCATGACATACTTTTTGCACAAATGGAATATAAAAAAACTCTCCAGTGTGCGACTGTGGTCATCTAGATCAGACCATACAATGTTTAACAACACAATGCCCGATCCACAAATACTAAGGTGACAACACAGCGATACACTCCGCTGATCCTGACGCGGTTATCTGACTTGACCACCTGAATGTGAAATGGTAGTTGTTGCTTCGCGTCTACAACCCATCAATCGGTGTGCCAATGAATACCTGTGGACCCTGAGGGTTAGGGTTACCTTTCATTTTCTAAACACAGCTGCTGGGCACAGGCTCAAAACGCCAAACGGCCAGCGGCAAACAGCACTGCCAAAGTTTCAACAGATAAGGAGTGTAACACATTTCTTGAATTGAGCAGGGCTATTATGAGAGCTTGGAAAAAGAGACGATAGAAGGGAATTCCAAAGTGGAGCAGCAGTGCGTGGGAAGAAGCAGAAAGAGAGGAGTTGTGACTGGCAGTGTGATGTTTGAACACAGTGTGGATGAGATGACACAGTCTGCTAAACCGAGTCCTCAACATGGAATGCGAAATCAATGAGCACAACAAAATTGAAGAATTTCACTCTAAAATAAAAATGGGATATCCCCCACAATGCATTGCCATTGCTCTTATTCACAATCTGTGGTCAAGTGCACGTTGCAGGAGACCTTGTCTTCCCGTTGTCTGCAAACGAGACAAGATTCAGCTCAGTTCTATTACAGCTGCTCTCATGGTCATGACCAAACATTTGTCTCACCCCTCTACAATCTTACCTGCGAATCCCCGGGGTTCCGATGATAATGGGAAAAATCACAGATCCACTGGCCCCGGCGGATAACGTGATTTACGGATAAGACGACGGGGGAGGCGTTTGATGTGTTTCCCCGTGGAGGGAACGATTGTGATCGCCCGACGGGGCAAGTCCTGGGCTCAACTTTCACCATAAACTGTATGTACTATATTAGAGAGAACAAAAAGTTTTATTGGCTGGCAACGTGCCGCCCAGCGCGCAGAGGGGAAGGGGCACACAATTAGAGGGGTGCGTGGGGGGCATGCGAGGGTGGGGGGGGGGTCGACTGGGGGAATATGCGGGTCTTTGGGGGGGGGGGGCTGTCACGTGTGAGATGGGGGCGTTGGGGTGGGGAGAGGACCTTCGTTCAACGATGGGTACTTTCACTTTATTTTTTATTTTACTTTGGCTGACTGGCAGCACGCTACGAGTACGTTGGCGAAAACAACGTGTGGCCGAGATAAACCGGTCTGTGTTTGTGCACGAGAAGGAATCTGGTTGGCCGGCTCAGTCCGTCATCGGGGCCACGCGTGCCAACAATGGCACGCGTGGCCCCGATGCCATCAACGCTCCCCTGGCCACTGATGGGCTGTGAGGCTTTAGTAGAATTTCAGAACGGAGCTCCATCCATTGCGCAAGGGGGCCCTGACCGAAAGCTGCTTTGTGAATTTAAAAGAATCGATTTACAGATGATGAAAATGAAGGCGATGTTGAAGAGAATGATAGCGATGAAGATGATAATCATAGTGGTTCTCATGATGAGTAGAGGAGGTCATCTGATTTTCTTTGGTTCTTTCGGTAAAGTCACGTAGATAGAAAAATAATAATAAAAAGAAAGTAAATAAAAATGATATAAAAAAATAACAAAAAATGTAGACTGTAGCCTGGTTCTAGATTTGAAGCTTTCTTTGACTGCAATGATTCATATTATTAGGTTTTTTCGGTAAAGTCGCGGAGGTAAAAAACATTAAAAAGTAAAATAAAATAAAAATCACGACGTTTCGGAGGCAACACAAGCTTCCGTCTTCAGGTGGTACCGTCACAGCCACGACAGCTGTATCAAGTAAATGAGAGATTGCAGAAGCTACCACTCCGTTTATATAATGGTTGGAGAAGGTGGTGGGGGCAAGGGCTGCATACTTTCTTAAATATACAAACACAGACATAATTTCAACCGTGATAACGGTTACAAACTGAGTAATCATTGGAAAGATGTGATTAACCATGCAAAAAAGATTTAACTACACTTATTTGCCAATCTTATTTGACAGACAACCATCACAGTTTTACCATGTCTAGTGGTGGTCTCCCTGTTACAGGTTGAGTCACAAACCGCACCTCTCCATAACAAAGGCTCAGCCTTTGTTATGCAGTCTATTCTTAGTCTTAAGCCTCACCTTACCATATTAATAAAAGTATGCGGCCCTTGCCCCACCACCTTCTCCAACCATTATATAAACGGAGTGGTAGCTTCTGAAATCTCTCATTTACTTGATACAGCTGTCGTGGCTGTGACGGTACCACCTGAAGACGGAAGCTTGTGTTGCCTCCGAAACTTCGTTATTTTTATTTTATTTTACTTTTTAATGTTTTTTTACCTACGTAACTTTACCGAAAAAACCTAAGAATATGTAGCCTGGTTCTTAACCTAAGTGGGTGTACTGGCAGTCTATAATGTAGATTTATTCTGATTCTTTCAGTAATAAAAAAATACAAAATAAAGATAAAAATGGTCTACATTATAGACTGCCAGTACGATAACTCAGTTTAATAACCACTGCTACAGTCTACATTACAGAATGCCAATACGCCCACCAACCTTAAAAACCAGGCTACAGTCTACATTATAGACTGCCAGTACACTCAGCAAGGTTAAGAACCAGGCTACAGTCTACATTAATGTTTTTTTTGTTTTTTATTATGTTTATTTTTTACTTTTATAATTTTTTTATTCACTTTATTTTTATTTTTCTATTTACGTGACTTTACCGAAAGAATCAAATAATGTGAATTCCTGCAGTCACGAAAGCTTTAAGTCAGGTCATCTAATATATCACGACAAATGTATTATTGTGCAGCCTTCCCAGCAAAGATGGGATTCTACATTGTTTTGCATTAATATACACACCAGCGATTTGAGAGATGCAATTTGCATGAATGACTCTACAGGTTATAATAAAACAGCATTATTACGATGCACTCGTTTGAGGCGCGAATCATCTTACCTATCAAGTTCCCGGGGGAGAGGTGCCTTGAGTGGCAGCCAAAAGCAGGCATCGAGATCCCCTACGCCATTTCAGCACGCGACCAAGAGCGAATGCTGAGTGCGTAGGAATGAATACTCCGAGACACCTGCGTGCACCGGCAAGTGATAAGGCATTGTTAGTATCTCACATGGAGGCAATAGGGTACAGAGAATCAGCCGACCCAAGAGGAAAAAAAGCAAGGAGTAGCAGATTTAAGACTGTTGTACAGGACAGTGTAACATGTAGGACGAGGGGCTTTTGTGAGCCTAGGTACACAAAGATAACGATCCCCCGTGTAGCCTTTCCAGACTGTAGGGGCAAGTGCTGTTAGAGAGCACCTATGAAGGCCGGAACGGCACACGAGGGGGTGGGTGGCCAGCACCACGCCCGGTTGCCTTTCTCTGGGGAGTGGCTCATTTGAGGCTGAGTCGACCTAGGGGAGGCCCAGGACCGGTTCAGATAATCGTCACCGGTGTTAGCCGTGAGCAGGAATATAACTGCTAGACCACCACTCACTACACAAGAACGTGTTTGACCACACATCCTTGTGTAACTACACACACTCGTGCAATAAAAATAACCAGATACTTGACTATGAATTGACTACGAATTTTACAATTACTTTTGAAAGTAATTTGCCTGAGTCGACTTTGTTACGAGAAATGTATTAACATTTATACGTATGTATGCGCCGTTTGATTTCTTCTGCAAAATTTTATATTTTTTCCTCTGGCGAGATGTTAACTACCTCGCCTGGTATACAGGAGGTCGTGGGTTCGATCTCGATCCTGACGCCTGCTGTATATTTGGAGTTTGCATGTCTCTCTACCTGTGGTTGCGAGGATTTTTCTCCATATCCTCCGGGTTTTCCCTCGACATTTAGAATCAACACGCGTTTAGAGTATTTGGCTGCTATAAATTTCCACATGATAAGCCACTTTGCTGGGCTATCATGTGTGGCCAGGTCGATTCTTGAAAATAGCTGTACAGCTCAGTGGGCCTTAACTGGTAAAATAAAAAAATGTTGAAATAGTAAAACAAATATGCTTGTTTGCTTTTGATACGATTGCAATTTACATCATTTCTACAATATTTTTTATGTTATTGCGTTTGTCCTTTTGGTGACCCATGTTACTCTTGCGAATCCATGGCTCTTGAGTTCTCACCTTGGGTAAACACAATCCATCTGAAACTTGAAACTATGTTTGCTTTACGAGTAGAATTGACACTTTTTTTTCTTCCATATAGACCAAACCCAAGCATAGTTCTCAATCAGTCTAGGTCTATAAAAGCCCAGGCATAGGTGCACAGTCTCAATATCTGGGTCAAATCCAGACATGCAGCAATCTTATTCCCATGTCTCTCTATACACATATGGGCCCGCATACAACTGACAGTCGTCAGTCTTTATTTAGACGCAGATTATTCAGAGGTGACTTTACTCAGTGACATTAAATGACCTGATTTACTGCGTAAACATAAGCTGCTTATCGTGAAGATATCACCGTATGCTTATCAATTACCCCCCATGACGCCAGAGTCTACACGGAGCTGGCGTGTAAACACAAGAGAAATTACTTCATAATGGGAGCTCAAAGAGGACGTAGTATTTCACGAGTAAAAGAATGTTGTACGCGAGGCAGTGAGACGGGGCAGATGAGTGGGGGGGGTCTGCCTCTCCGATGCGATATCAACAAAGCCGCGCGCCAAATCGGGTGCTTAAGACTCGGCGAGTTCAGACAATTTACTTTCTGGGGGAAACACTTGGCAGGACCCTCTTGAAAGTCGCGAGGCTCTCTTGGCTAAACAGGCACAATTGCAATTACCCCACACAGGCCTGCAAGCGAGTGTATTGTTACCCCTGTCCTACATTTTCAGGGAAGAGAGCGACAATCGCAGTGAGTTTCCCGAATTCAGTGATTTGGCAGCCCACAGCGGCGCTGTTTACAGCACCCACTCTCGATAATGAAATTCAGAAAGTAAAAAAAAGTCAGGGCAGAATGTCAGTTGAACAAATGCCGATGGAAAACAGAAAGTTCACAAGGCGATAGCCGTAAATGTTCGTGTTATGTGTGTTTCAAACAACACACAGAAACGTGCTTTTGTTATATATGTACACACGTTAAACTTATTTTTTACCGAAAAAACCGAAGAGTATTTATTTCGCACCGTAGGCAACCAGCCACCAGCCGTGCTCATCGTAGGAAGGGCAACAGACTAAGCACAAAAAGCAGTTCTAAAGAAATGAGTTTCCAATCTAACACAAACACTGTACTACACATATGTTGAATACACTGTATACGTGACTATATTTAAACAATAAATTAAATACTAGCATACGACGTTTCGATTGCAACACAAGCAATCATCATCAGGTATAAATGAAATAGTAACACAAATCTAGTATACTTAGAAATGTAATGCACCGTGCCACGCACCGTGCCACTCATTGTCAATGAGTGGCACGGTGCAGGAACTTGGGGAGGTTACGAGACGAGGAGAGAGACAAACTGAATTAAATAACCTAGCAAAATCCCTGTTGTATTACATTACATTTCTAAGTATACTAGATTTGTGTTTCTATTTCATGTATACCTGATGATGATTGCTCGTGTTGCAATCGAAACGTCGTATGCTAGTATTCAATTTATTATTTTATCTTTATACGTGACTTTACCGAAAGAACCAAAGAGCAATTCCTGCAGTCACGAAAGCTCCAAATTAAGTTTATATTTAAACATTTATGTTGCACCCGGTGGCTCAGCGGTCGAGTAAACAATGGGAAGCGTGCGAGTTCAAGCCCTGGATGGGGGGTTGACTCAGCCCATCATCCCTCTGCGGTCGACAAAATAAATACAGTAACACTTTGCGCAGAAGTCAACAGTGGTTGTTCCATGGACTTGCGGAAATTATAGTGTTGGTTCAGGGCTGTACACGGGAGTTAATCACCGTCTCAGTGCTGATTTGAGCAGGAGATAATTTGATTCTCGTTATGCACAGCATTATACGTTGTGTTGGTATAAAACTACTATTTTCAACAATTAAATTAACGTCACAAGTGATTATTGATTATATTACTTTGAAAAAAACGTTACTAAAAATATTTGTATAGACGTATGCATGCTACATTGCTTTTGCAAATAGGTCTCGAATATCAGACAAATGTAAAAACATGTATTTTTATTCAAGCTGGCAAAATGTTTACCTTTAATTTTTTTAACCATATCCAGATAAATCATTGATTGAATAGCAACCGATATCGAACGAAACGCTAAAGAGATTTAATTGGATGTTGCAAATCTCAGCTAAATTAATTATACATTGAGAATATTCAGTTGCTCATGCGAATATTGGGATATCAACCGATATCGTAACAGGGTTTTTTGTTTTTTTGGCCTCTTCAGGTAAAAAAATAATAATAAATGTCCCCAATGTATTCCCCAATGTATTCCAAACACGCCATTGCCATTCTGCCACGAGATGACGAATAACATCGGAAATTTCTCGGAGCGAATCTGGCCGTGTCTTCTCCAAACGCCTGCGGAAGAGAATGCTCAGCGGACGTCTCTACCCCCAAGGCTGCGACTCCCCGCACGGCTCCGCCCAGAGTCTGTTTTGCTGCATTACAGTCAAATCGATATTCGTTTTTTTGTTTCATTCTCAGAGCTTAAATTTCGCTACATTAAATGCAAAAAACAATTTTAATGTGATGGATTTTTTTTTCCGTGCAGCCCTTTGGCAATCGGACCATCAACTCGCTACACATTTGAACAAAAAAATAAAACGAGCAGACGGTTGGCCTCCGTCACACGCCTGCCCCTCCACGTAAAGGTATAAAAGTGTTTTAACACCTGACCATCGACAACATGGCCTACTGGGAGTGCATAATTTCAACAACATTGGTTCAACGCAAGGCAACATTTTCAACCGGAATCGACATTCAGTGTCCCATCAGCATATTGTGTGTTGTTGTAACTTTCTGACCGCCCCTACTGGACATCTGTGAAAAATTGCTTATAAATAAATATTCTGATCCTGAGACAGGCTAGCTTCAAACTAATGCTTGTGAACTGCCACACGCGTATAGGCAAGTACCCTCTCTGTTAGATACGGGGTCAAAGTTCAACAGAAAAACTATACAATACATAACAAAAACATAAGCATGACCATTGTTGTGGAGAATACCGGTATCAAAATAAACAAGCAGACAAATTCGATTCCTTCTATCATCTGTCCGTGCTCAACAAATAAACGTCGTTTTTACGTATCTCAAGATATGAGAACTCTGTTTAATGATGGCGGCTGCCTGCAATGGAGACCTTGGATCTCAGCGCCACACATTAACGTGACATTTCATCAGCGGATTTGGCCTTTTCCCCCCAATCCTGTGAATGAAACATGAAGAAGCATGATGTGCCTCTGCTGCTGTGCACTGCATAAAAGGCCAGCTCATAGCAAATGTGCATGGCCATTCAGGATTTAAGTCAAGGTTAATGCAGAATTTCTTATTGAAAGCCCTGGAAGACATATACAACGTTTGGAGCTTTCTTGGTTTTTGAAATGTATATATAAAAACGGTCATAAAAATATTCGATTATTTTCGGAGCCGATGGGTTTTTTCTCTGTTCACAGTTGCATGAGTAAAGATAACGGTGGAAGCCCAGCAGAATGTGTAGACCTTAGTATCTATTGAACTGAGATGGGGATCAAACGGATGAAATAAATATGCAGACGAGTTCAGAATGCAGTGCTTTTCGCAAAACTGATTTTGATCAACAAAATCAACACAGCCGAGCGCCTGCATGTTAATTACAATGCAGTCGATATCACGGTGAAGAGGTCACCACAGCCCAATCTCATTGGTGCCTCCATACTTCACTACCGATGCTTTATTGCTGCCAGACCTGGCAGCTGTTATAGTCCACACTATCAGCAAGGTCCACTCACAGTATTGAGCCCTACGGTTGGGCCTTCCCTCGGTTGCTGATCCTCAGGTCCCATTCTGACCCTCCATCCTACGCATGTGCGGCCACTCACCGCGGCCTCCGCTTCCACATTGCAGGACACCGGTGCCACTCTCTCTTCTTGGTTCTTTCGGTAAAGTCA